CTCCCCTTCCAGTCCAGTTCTCTGCTGTGGCCCGGGAGGGCAGTGGAGGATGGCCTAAGTTCTTGGGCCCCTGCACCCACATGGGAGACCAGGAGGAAGCACCTGGCTCTTGGCTTTGGATCGGTGCAGCACGCCGGCCATGGTGGCCATTTGGGGTGTGAACCAATGGAAGGAAGACCTTTCTCTCTGTCTCTCCTCACTGTCTAACTCTGCCTGTCCAAAACAAACAAACAAACAAACAAAAAAAGATTGACAAAGAACATTTCATGTCTTCAGAGATATCAAGAATGAATAGAGATCTTGAAGGAACTTTTAAAATTCTATGTCTACTCTCTTCATTTTATAGATAAAAACAAAATCAAAATAAAAACTGACTTCTTGAAGAAAGAGTTCCATGAAAATCAAATTTGTTTCTAATATTTATGTGGTATTTTTCTTATTTCTTTTAAGATTTATTTATATGAAAGTTTGATTTAGAGTGGGAGAGGCAGAGAAAGAAAGAGAGAGGGAGGGAGAGGGAGAGAGAGAGAATATCCCATCCGCTGGTTTACTCCTCCAAATGGCTGTGACAGTTGGATCTGGGCCTGTCTGAAGCCAGGAGCTTCTTCTGGATCTCCTACACAGGTGCAGGGGCCCAAAGACTTGAGCTATCTTCTACTGCTTTTCCAGGCCATAGCAGAGAGCTGAATTGGAAGTGGGGCAGCTGGGACTAGAACCAGTGCCCACATGGGATGCCAGCACTGCAAGCAGCAGCTTTACCTGCTACAACACAGCTCCGGCCCCTCTGGAAACTTTTGGAAGCTTCTCTTTTTCCTCTGTGAGGTTTCTTAATTTTTTATTTTTTGGCATTTATCTTGTTGGAACTTCTCTGAAGCCTTTCATTGTGGAGACTCTTGTAATTTCATTCTGGAAATTTTTTTAAATATTTTATTTATTTGACAGAGTTAGAGAGGGAGGGAGAGAAAGAGCAAGTGATTTTCCTTCCAGTGCTTCACTCCCCAAATAGCTACAACAGCAAGGGCTGGGCCAGACCTAAGCTGAGAGCCAGAAATTTTATCTGGGATTCCCATGTTGGTAGCAGGTTCCCAGGCATTTGGGCCACTTTGCTCTGCTTTCCCAAGCAAATCAGCAGGGAACTGAATCAGAAGTGGAACAGCTGGGACTTAACTCTTTAAGAAGGTCTCCTGTTAGGCAGTGGCTTAACCCACTGCACCACAATGTCAATCCTTAGTTACGGAAATTTAAATAAAAATTGTTGAGTTGATTATTTCTTTCTTGTGTTTTCTTCCCTTTGGTTGTTTCCAGGACTCCTTGTGCTGATCTGTGCCTCTTGCTTTTCTTCACAAGCTGTCCTACTATCTGAAAGATTTCTTTGACCTCATCTTCAAATCTTTCCACTGATTTTTTCCCCCAAAGAAACTTTATTTAATGAATACAAATTTATATGTACAACTTTAGGAATACAGTGATTCTTCCCATCATACCCACCCTCCCACCCCACCACCTCCTCCTCCTTCGATTCCCAGTCCCATTCTCCATTAAGAAAAACAAAAACAAAAACCAAAAAATCTGTTCTTCAATAATCAAGACAAGGGTTGTTCAAGTCATTGCTCCTCAAAGTGTCAATTTCACTTCTACAGATTTACTTTTAGGTGTTCTGTTAGTTATCACAGATCAAGGAGAATGTGATATTTGTCCCATTGAGTCTGGCTTATTTCACTAAGTGTAATTTTTCCAGATTCATCCATTTTATTACAAATGACTGAATTTTAACCTCTGTATAGTATTCCATAGAGTATATATCCCATAATTTCTTTATCCAGTCTTCAGTTGACAGGATTTAGGTTGATTCCATGTCTTAACTATTATGAATTGAGCTGCAACAAACATGGGGGTGCAGATAACTTTTTGTTTGCTGATTTCATTTCCCTTGAGTAAATTCCAGGGAGTAGGATGGCTGGGTCTTATGGTAGGTCTATATTCAGATTTCTGAGGTATCTACAAATTGATTTCCATAGTGATTTTACCAGTTTATGCTCCCACCAACAGTGAATTAGGTAACTTTCTCCCCACATCTTCACCCGCATTTGTTGTTTGTTGATTTCTGTATGAAAGCCATTCTAAGTGGGGTGAGGTGAAACCCCATTGTGGTTTTGATTTGCATTTTCCTGATGGCTAGTGATCCTGAGCATTTTTTTATGTGTCTGTTGGACATTTGGATCTCCTCTTTTGAAAAATGTCTGTTTAAGTTCTTTGCCCATTTCTTAACTGGTTGTTTTGTTGTGGTGGAGTTTCTTGATATATTTATATGTTCTGGTTATTAATTCTTTATCAGTTACATCATTTGGAAATAATTTCTCCCTTTCTCTCTGTTGCCTTCTCACTTTCCTGAGTGTGTCTTTTGCAATTCAGAAGCTTCTAATTTGTGTAATCCCATTTGTTGATTTTGGCTTTGATTACCTGTGCTGCTGGGGTCTTTTCCAAGAATTCTTTGCCTGCTCCAATGTCTTGCAGGGTTTTCCCAATGTTCTCCAGTAATTTGATGGTATCAGAATGTAGATTTAGGTCATTAATCTGTTTTGATTGGATTTTTGTGTAAGGTGTAAGACAAGGATCTTGCTTCATACTCCTGCATGTGGAAATCCAGTTTTCCCAGCACCATTTGTTGAGGAGACTATCCTTGCTCCAGGGATTGGTTTCAGCCCCTTTGTCAAATATAAATTGGTTGTGGATGCTTGCGTTGATTTCTGGCATTTTGTTCTGTTGCATTGGTCTACCCATCTGTTTTGTACCAGTACAGGCTGTTTTGATTACAACTTCCTTGTAGTATGTCTTAAAATCTGGTATTGTGATACCTACAACTTTGTTTTTGTTGTGTAAGATTGCTTTAGCTATTCAAGGTCTCCTGTATTTCCATATGAATTTCAACATAATTTTTTCTAGATCTGAAAAGAATATCTTTGGTATTTTCATTGATATTGCATTGAGTTTGTAAATAGCTTTTGGAAGAATGGACATTTTGATGATGTTGATTATTCTAGTCCATGAACATAGAATATTTTTCCCATTTTTTAATTTTCTTCTGTTTCTTTATTTAATGTTTTGTAGTTATCATCATAGAGATCTTTGACATCCTTGGTTAAATTTATTCCAAGATATTTGATTTTTTTGGTAGCTGTTGTGAGTGGGATTGCTCTTATAAGTTCTTTTTCAGCCATGGCATTGTCTGTGTATACAAAGGCAGTTGATTTTGGTGTACTGATTTTATATCCTCTAGTTTACCAAACTCTTTTGTGAGTTCCAGTAGTCTCCTAGTGGATTCTTTTGGTTCCCCTATATATAAAACATCATCTGCAAATAAGTATAGTTTGACTTCATCCTTACTGATCTGAATCCCTTTGATTTCTTTTACTTGTCTAATGGCTCTGGCTAAAACTTCCAGGACTATATTGAATAGCAATGGTGAGAGTGGGCATCCTTGTCTGGTTCAGGTCTCAGTGGGAATTATTCTAACTTTTCCTCATTCAGTAGGATGCTGGCCATGGGTTTGTCATAAATTGCCTTGATTGTATTGAAGAATGTTCCTTCTATACCTAGTTAACTTAGAGCTTTCATCATGAAAGGGTATTGTTTTTTATCAAATGCTTTCTCTGCATCTATTAAGATAATCATATGGTTTTTGTTCTTCATTTTGTTAATGTGAAGTATCACATTGATTCATTTGTGAATGTTGAACCATCCTTGCATACTATGGATAAATCTCACTTTGTCCACGTGAGTGATCTTTCTGATGTGTTGTTAGATTTGATTGGCTAGTATTTTGCTGAGGATTTTTGCATCTATGTACATCAGGGAAATTGGTCTGTAGTTCTCTTTCTCTGTTGTATCTTTTTATGGCTTAGGAATTAAGGTGATGCAAGCTTCTTAGTAGGAGTTTGGGAGGATTTCCTCCCTTTCAATTTGTTTGAATAGCTTGAGAAGAATTGGAATTAATTCTTTAAATGTCTGGTAGAATTCAGCAGTGAAGCTATCAGGTCATGGGCTTTTCTTTGTTGGAAGAGTCTTTATCAGTGATTCAATTTTCCTCTTGATTATAGGTCTGTTTAGGTTTTCTATGTCTTCAAGGCTCAATTTATGTAGATTGCATATGTCCAGGAATCTATCCATTTCTTCTAGGTTTCCCAGTTTGTTGGCATACAGCTCTTTGTAGTAGTTTCGGATGATTCTTTTTATTTCTGTGAAGTTTGTTTTTACATTTCATTTTTCATCTTTAATTTTATTGATTTGGGTCTTCTCTCTCCTTTTTTTTTTGGTAAGTTGGGCCAATGGTGTGTCAATTTTGTTTATTTTTTCAAAAAAAACAGCTCTTCATTTTGCTTATATTTTGTATTGTGTTTTGTTGATTTCTTCTCTAATTTTAATTATTTCTTTCTCCTAGTAGTTTTGGGTTTGGTTTGTTGTTGTTTTTCTAGATCCTTAAGATGCACTGATAGCTCATTGATTTGGTACCTTTCCAGTTTCTTTTCTTTTCTTCTTCTTTTTTTTTTTGACAGGCAGAGTGGACAGTGAGAGAGAGAGAGAGACAGAGAGAAAGGTCTTCCTTTTGCCATTGGTTCACCCTCCAATGGCTGCTGCGGCCAGCACATTGCACTGATCCGAAGCCAGGAGCCAGGTGCTTCTCCTGGTCTCCCGTGCGGGTGCAGGGTCCAAGGACTTGGGCCATCCTCCACTGCACTCCCAGGCCACAGCAGAGAGCTGGCCTGGAAGAGGGGCAACCGGGACAGAATCCGGCGCCCCAACCGGGACTAGAACCTGGTGTGCCGGCACCGCAGGCGGAGGATTAGCCTATTGAGCCGTGGTGCCGGCCCTTTCCAGTTTCTTGATGTAGGAACCTATTGCTATAAATTTTCCTCTTAAGACTGCTTTTGCTGTATCCCAAAGTTTTGATATGTTGTTTTAGCTTCAGTTATTTCCAGAAATTCCCTTTTGATTTCTTCTAGGATCCACTGATCATTCAGGAGCATATTGTTTGGTCTCCATGTGTGAGCATATGTTCTATAGATTCCTGAGTTGCTGATTTCCAACTTCATTGCATTGTGATCTGAGAAGATACTTGGTATGATTTTGATTATTTTAAATGTGCTGACTTGCTTTATGGCCTAGCATGTGGTCAATCCTAGAGAAAGTCCATGCACTGTTGAGAAGAATGTGCATTCTGCAACTGTAGGATGAAAAGTTCTGTAGATATCTGGTAGGACCATTTGGTTATAGTATTAATTAACTTATCTGTTTTCTTGCTGATTTTTTTTAAAAAAAGATTTATTTATTTATTTGAAAGTCAGAGTTACACAGAATGAGGAGAGGCAGAGAGAGAGAGAGAGAGAGAGAGAGAGGTCTTTCATCTGATGGTTCACTCCCCAGTTGGCTGCAATGGCCAGAGCTGTGCTGATCTTAAGCCAGGAGCCAGGTGTTTCTTCCAGATCTCCCATATGAGTGCAGGGGCCCAAGGACTTGGGCCATATTCCACTGCTTTCCCAGGCCATAGCAGAGAGCTGGATCAGAAGTGGAGCAGCCGGGTCCTGAACTGGCGCTCATATGGGATGCCAGTGCTTCAGGCCAGGGCATAACCACAGCACTGGCCCCCTCCTTGCTGATTTTCTGTCTGGTTGATCTGTCCATTGCTGAAAGTGGGGTATTGAGGTTCCCTATTACTATCGTATTAGAGTCTATGTCCCCTCTAAATCCCTTCACATTTCTTTTAAACAGCCAGGTGCCCTGTAATTAAAAGCATATACATTTATAATAGTCACATCTTCCTTTTGAATTGTTCCCTTAGTTATTACATACTATATTTCTTTATCACAAAATCTGTTAAAAGAGACAAAGTCTATTTTGTCTGCTATTAAAATGGCTACACCAGCTCTTTTTTGGTTTCTGTTAGCATGGAATATCTTTTTCTATCTTTTCACTTTCAGTCTTAATACATCTTTGTTGGTGAGATGTGTTTCTTGTAGGCAGCAAATACATGGGTTTTATTTTTTAATCTAGTCAGCCAGTATATGTCTTTTAACTGGATAGTTAAGGCCTTTTATATCCAAGGCGACTATTGATTAGTAAGGACTTTCCCTGTCATTTTTCCAAAAATATTCCTATTTTTTACTTTGGATTTTCTGTGTACTTTTACTGGGAGCTTGCCTTCCTTTACCTTCTTCCATGGTGATGACCATGTTTCTATGTTTCTGTGTGTAGCATAGCCTTAAGCATCTTCTTGCAGGGCTGGCTGGTTGGTCAAATTCTTTCATTTTTTTGTCATGGAAGGTCTTTATTTCACCTTCATTCATAAATGAGGTCTTTTCAGGGTATAGTATTCTGGTTTAAAAGTTTTTTTCTCTTAAGACTTGGAGTATCTTCTCTCCTAGCCTATAGGTTTTCTGATGAGAAGTCTGCTGTGACTCTAATTGGAGATCTTCTGAAAGTAATCTGGCATTTCTCTCATGCACATTTTAGAATCTTTTATTTATTTATTTATTTTTTCTTTATTTGACAGGTAGAGTTATAGACATATAGACAGAGAGAGAGAGACAGAGAGAAAGGTCTTCCTTCCATTGATTCACTCCCCAAATGGCTGCCACTGCCAGCGCTGCACTGATCTGAAGCCAGGAGCCAGGTGCGTCTTCCTGGTCTCTCTTCTGGATGCAGGGGCCCAAGAACTTGGGCCATCCTCCATGCCCTCCTGGGCTATAGCAGAGAGCTGGACTGGAAGAGGAGCAACGGGGACTAGAACCCGGCGCCCATATGGGATGCTAGTGCTGCAGGTGGAGGATTAACCAAGTGAGCCATGGCACCGGCCTTTATGTTTTAACTCTTGAAAGCTTGACTATAATATATATAATGTGTTGTGGTAAAGATATTTTCTGGTCCTGTCTATTAGGAGTTCAATGTGCTTCGTGTATTTGGATACCCCTTTCTTTCTCCAAATTGGCGACATTTCTGCTATTATTTCACTAAAAAGACCTTCTAATCCTTTCTCTCTTTCCACACCTTCAGGAACTCCTAGAACCCATATGTTGGGTTGTTTGATAGTATCCTGTAGATTACCAACAGTGTCTTTTAGTTTTCTGATACATCTTCTTGTGTTTGGCCTGATTCTATAGTTTCCTGTGGTTTTTCTTCTAAATTGGATATTCTTTATTCAGCTTCACAGATTCTGTTGTTAAGGCTCTCCATTGTGTTTTTTATTTGTTCTATCAAGTTTTTCATTTCCAAGTTTTCATTTTGATTTCTCTTTAAGATCTCAATTTTGTGGGAGAAATTTTCTGTCCTGTCATGTATGGATTTCATTAGTTCGTGCATTTGCCTCTGATTACATTAAGTAATCCTATGATCAATCTTCTGAATTCCATTTCTGAAATTTCTTCAGTCTCATCCTCTTCACAATCTAGTATTGAGGTGTTGTGTTCTTTTGGAAGTGTCATGTAGTCTTCCTTGTTTGTATTTCTTGCATTGGGGTGTTTGTTATTTGGCATTTGTGGGGTTATACATTGGTTTCTTTGATTTTTCACTGTGGTGGCTTTTATCTTTGGACTATGTGTGGATAAGTGGAGTGTCTGCTTTCAGGGAACACCTAGAGGCATGTGGTGGGAGTGGCCAGGGAGCTCTGCCAGTGCTGCAGGGTGAAGGGCCTGTCTGAGGTGACACACCCAGGTTTAGCAGAGTTGTTTTTTTTTTTGTCAGATGGGAGGCTTTTTCTTGTCTGTTGGCGTAGACTCAGCTGAACTCCTCTCCTCTAAGGAGACCAATGCTTGGGCAGTAGCCCCAGTGAGTATATTATTTGTCCGCTCTGCCATAAGGACCACACAAAGGGACTATGTAGTTCTCAGTGTAAGCTCAGATTCCCCAGCAATGTCTCTTGCCAGGTAATCATGGAGCCCTGATTGTGTGGAGCCTATTACAGTGACTGCCCAAAATTCCAGCCACATCCTAAGTCCTCCCATGCAGCCTCAGTGTTTTCACAGTCCCTGAACACAAGCCTCCCACAGTCACGAGCACCCAGTCTCCTGTCTGTCCTGCCCACTGGACTCAGGAGTCTCCACTTGGCTGGTTGCTGGGCACAGAGATAACCTAGCGCAGCTATTACGTATGTCCAAAATGGTACCTGCTTTCTATCAGCTTGTTACAGGATGCTTTTGCAGGATGACTAGGAGAGAGAAAAGTGCCCCTCCTTTATTTTTTCTCCTCTAAATTGGTATACAATCTGCCATCCAAGCCAGATTCCCTCTAGGCTTTTCCTGCAGCTTTTTCACCAGTGTCTTGGGCTGCTGCAGTCGGGTCTCACTTTGCTCTCCAACACTGGTGTGGAGGTTCTCGACTAGTGGGGTCCTAAGTTGTGTGCATCTTCGCCCTCCACTGTGGGCCACTGTGTTCCTCCAATTTATGTAGGAAATTGTCTGTAATGAAGATTTTACATATATTTATATAGAGATATCAAAGTGTGAAAATTAAATGGAATTAAAAGATAAAAATAAAAACTTATTGCTTGACATAAGCTTCATTAAGTTCAAGAGACTTTTGGAGGCAATGAAACTTGCCATTTAATGGCTCCCTAAAGAGCTGAGGATCTTAGGGATTTAACCATGTCAATGTAGCCTTTTAAAAATTATTTATCAAAGAAAAGTGAGTTTCATCAGCTTGGCTCATCTGAGATCTACTTCATCTGCTCTCTGCTAGATCTGTGGATCTCAAAAGGACTTGCCCTGAGCTCCCTTCTCTCCCTTCTGAGGAAGATAAATCAATGTCCATGTGAACAGTTGTTGCCTCTAAGTAGGAAATCCTGGGTCTGCACCATGAGCCCAATAGTCACACACCTGTTAGAAATATTTACAAAAAGGCCTTGCTGAACCTCAAATTCATACATCTAAAACCTAGTCAGTTTTATCTCCTACAGCCTTTTCTTCCTCCTGTGTTATACGTTTTTGTATCATTGTCCTGCAATTCAATTTCCTTAAGGCCATTTCTTAGCTACTACCTTTTCTCACCCCAGAATCTAATTAGTTATAAAGTCCTCATGGTGGCTCAGAATCTGCCCCTGCCTTTGGTTTCCATCACTGCTGCCCTTGCTTAGGATCTCATCACCTCTTGCTTGAATTATTTCAAAACATTCTTACTGCTCTTCCTACCTCTACTTCTCTCTTCATGTTTAACTTCTATGCCAGTGACTCCCAAAGCAGATCTATTATTTCAAAATGAGCTAGAATTTTTTTTTAAATAGCCTATTGGTGGATACCTTCACTGAGTTCAGTGATTATAGTGAATTAAATCTAAGTGGGATGCAGGAATCTGAATTTTTAATAATGCTTGACAGAGAAGAAAGCAAATTTAGAACAATATTTACTAAGTGTATTGTTTATGTAATTTTAACAGTACAAAACAGCGAGTATAACTTTATGAATATATACATATATATCTGTATAAATATTTACTAGAAAGATAATCATTAAAGTGGTTTTTTTTTTCTGGGGCAGGGAAGAAGACATTTAATAGAGATAGTTTATTTCTCCTAGAAATTATAAAGCATAGCATCAACATGTTTTTATTATGAATGGAGAACGCTTATATTGTTATCAATAGTTTTTTGTATATATGAAGCTACTTTGAAACTCTTGAGATGATTCTGCTTACATCCAGTTTGGCGTCTGTGATCATCTGAAAATGCAGATGTGCCCCCCGATATCTGTGTTCCAAAGCCTTCTCTTGCTCCCATCTTGCACAGACTCAATTTCACATTCCTTAGCATGGCATTACAAATGCTGACCCAACTTTCTAGACTCACCTAATTACTCCCCATTTACTCAGCTGCTGTGCCAGGGAACTCTGCTGTTTATTGTACTTGGAACATGTCATTTATTTTTAGTTTGTTCTGTGTCTTTTTTCCCTGACTCTCCAATATTTGCTTATCAAAATATTGTTTAACCTTCAGGATCTATCTCAAATTTGACTTCTTCTGCAAAACTTATTTTGACTTCTCTTTTTGGTGCTTTTCATGGTTTCATTTATATTTTCTTATAATGTTTGTGATATTGTACTGTGAGTCACTGCCATTCACTTTTGTGCTTATCT